CCCTCCTCCTCCTCTAGTTTAAAAGAAGAGTCTGGGCTGAAGAATGGCCTGCCCTCCCTGGCAGACATGGACAAGGCAGCAGCCCTAAGCACAGGTGTGGTAGGGGAGTAGGGTCCGCTTCATTCGGTCCTTCAGGGAGAGGACACACACACACACACACACACACACACACACACACACACACACACACACATGAGAGAGAGAGAGAGAGAGAGAGAGAGAGAGAGAGAGAGATCTCAAATAGTTTTCAACCCTCAAAAAGAAAGAAGAATGACAAGCAGTTTTCCTCGGGCAACAAGCAGAGGAGAGAACATGATCACCGCCAGGTTTAAGCCAACAAAGATTACAGTCTGATGAAATGCATTTTCCTATTTTCATACCCACGACTGGCTGCAAACAGACACAGCCTCCATCTTGCCTAGAGGAAGATGAAGATGTGTCATAATGGGCTGCCATTACTGAGCACTAAAAGCAACTGCCCTTTGTCACATCTGATGTTCATGTCAGGACACTAGGGAGGAGAAAGGGAATTCATGATGCATGAATGGAAGAATTTACCCAGGGGAGGAGATACAAGGAAAATGTATCATGTTGTTCTGGGGAGTTAAATAAACTGCTGGTCATAATTGTAGATACATTTTCTGGATAAATTAAAGCATTTTCATCTCGGTATGGACATGTTTGAACCTGTGGTGTATTGGAGCGGGGATAGGGGCAGAGGGAGGATTTCAATGGAGGGCAGTAGAATGGAACATGCTGCTGTGCTGCTGAATGTCAGGAAAGTAGAATTGTGGGCATGATGGGTTGTTCTGGTGCTTAGCGATTAGTTCATCAGAGGTGACGGGAAACATCAGCCGCCTCGGCATCTCAGCATGGCCACAGAAATGCCACTGCACTTACTGTCCTCAGGAATAATTGGGTAATTCTCAGCCTGGGAAGGGGTTGCAAATGGTTATGAGTGTGCTGTGATCGGACAGCACCAGTAGTCCTGGCACACAAGAGCTTATTCCAACGGCTTCTTAGGGAAGGCATGACCACTGGCTGTTTCTGAGAGATCTTGATTTTAGGCAAAATTACTTTCCCATCATGAGTGCCATGCTATCAGAAAGACAAATTAATTTAACATGAGTGACTTACTGGTCCCTTATGAATTACCTTCCAATTGTTTTTAATAGCATCTCTTTATCTCGCACACAAGAAAACACAGTTGACCTTTAACAGCCTCTTTTATAAATGAACCCAATTGCAGTTCCGCTTCTCCACTTTCAGATCTTTATCTCGTGGTACCTTGAATCCGGTCTCATTTGGATGCAGGTCCAGCTGTCTCTCTAATGGTGTCTATCCATTAATTAAACACTCTGTGCTTCACAGCTTGCACACCAGCAGCTGGAAAGGATGAGAAGGCAGCCCTCCTTTAATCTACAAATATTTATTTTCTTTTGGGGGATTGGTTGGGAAAAGATTAAGTGTATAGGAGGATAACCAGCTTATGGAGACCAAGTGTGTTGTGGTGGACGTTTCCTGTTGAGTCACATCAGGTGCAGTTAGTAAGCAGGAAGGCTGGCTCCTAATCCCCACCATCATAAATTATAAATGCCGGTTAAAACAAGTATCTTCCTCCATCTGGGCTAAGGAATGGGCCTTTGTTCTCAGAGTGTGTGAATAGATGCATGCAAATGAGTTTACAGGGAAGAAGGAGGATAACTCAAATAGAATCGGACTCTGATATTTATGGGAGCCTGTTGACACGAGAGCCAGGTCATGGCTTGTGTATTCTTATCCAGCCACAATGCATTATGGGGCTTCCTACAGTCCATTTACAATTTCCCTGGGTTCTTAGACTCATTCATCACTGAACTGTGTACAAACATCCCTGGAATAGCAAAACAATATGCTGATAGCTGGACACAGTTTCAGCTTTTAAAAAAATCCCACTTGGATACAGAAGCAGCCTGCATGTCATAGAGTATTAGAAAATACTGTCAAATAAAATTAAGAGTATAAAAATATATTTCAAAATTGGTGCTTCATTGTACATTGTTCCAGACTGTGTGTGTGTGTGTGTTTGTGTGTGTGTGTGTGTGTACAGTGCTTCTTTATGTGTGTGTGTGTTTGTGTGTGTGTGTGTGTGTACAGTGCTTCTTTATGTAGAAACAAATACATTTTCACTTTAGTATAATGACAACTCAACAATTACCAGACTGTATTCATACTTCTAGAATCCTCTAAAAGTGTCATTTATTGCACTTAAAAAAGTATGTCCCTTTCTATGTGACCTGACATATATTTTTATACACTGATTTGGCAAGAGAGAGCACTTTTTCAGGAAAGTGTCTATGGGTTACTTTGGGTTTCTCTGAAAGCAGAACCCAAGACAAAGTAGCTTTTGAGAGGAGAGCCTACAAGGTAGACGTAAAGAGGTAGGGAGACAGGAACATGGAATGCTAAAGGGGTGGGATGGTTTATTGAAGTTAGCACTGTAAGTGATAGAGGGCAATTCTGACTGAGAAACACCCAAAATGCTCCTGGAATTGTCCGTATGAGAGGTAGGAGTCAGGAGATTTAGACACCACTCCCCAGTGTTGTGTGGGACAAGTTTATACAGTATCACTATCTTGACTGGAGGATTCAAAATCTCTCTATCCACCTGCAGTCAGAAGCAGGTTCTTAGGCTATTGTGGGAGCATGAGGAGTAATATCCAGTGTGATGGATTTGTCTGAATTTCCCCCCTAGTTATGCAATGTTGATTACAGTTTAGTGTACTTTAGGAAAGAGTGCTATGCTGTTTAGGGTCGGTTGTCAGCTTGGCAGGATATGGAATCTGCTAGGTGACCAGCATCTAGGTACACCTGTGAAGGATTATTTAGATGAGTTTATTCTCTGAGCATGCCTTTGAGAGATCATACCGAACAGGTAATTTAGGAGGAAGATCCACCTATGGAAGGCCGACACTGTCCTCTAGGCTTGGGCCCTGGACTGTATCAAAATGAAGGAGCAAGTTGAGTGTGAGTGTTCATAATCTTTCCTTCCTGACTGCCCATACAACATGCCCAGTTGAGTGTGAGTGTTCATAACCTTTCCTTCCTGACTGCCCATACACCATGCGCAGTTGCCTACAGCTTCTGCTGCCAGGACCTCCCCATCATGATCGATGGTACCTTTGAACTGTGAACTATAATAAAACCATTCTCTCCTAAATTGCTTTTGTCATAGTATCTTATCATAGTTAACAGGAAAAGTATCTAAGCAAAATGGGTTGATTATAGTTCTTTAGATACACCTTTCAAATTATGTGCTAACACCTTTATTTTATTTTCAAGAGATTAATCCATTGAATATACATTGAGTACTGGGTATTGAGGTAGGTACTAGAAACAGTTTTGTCTTTCAGGTTAGCATATTTTGTAAGGTAAAACATTGTGGTGCTATGGTACATTTGGACTATCTACGGGATGTGGAGTTGCGTCCAGCAGGAAGTAACTAATTTGCTAGAGGTAGTAAGGCAGGAGGTGGGAAGGAAGTGGTCAGTCTTTTTAAGAAGTTGAGGGAGGAGGGAAAAGGAGAAAAAAATCTGCATGAATGCAGTAGTACAGGATTCTGAAATAAAAAGACTAACTCTGAATTAAGTGTCATCGACATCAAAGGTTATAAACATGGACAAGGAAAATTTTGGGAGAACTGAACGTTATCCAGTGTGATTGGAGAGTGGGTCTGAATGGTGAAGCCAAAGTTGGCTGAAGAGGAAAGGTTGTATCATGGAGATCTTGTACCCAAGACTAGGTTCTGCTTTTCATATTGATTTTACATAGAAAGTGTTGGGGATGCAGCATGCCCAAATGTGTTCATGCTACACATTTTGGAATATATAAAATGGACTAAAAACAATACTGGCAATTTTATATATAAGGCAACACTCCAGAAAGTGGTTACAATTTCGTTAATGAAGACCTTAATTGTACAAGCCTACTTTTTGTATGTTTTTTCTTTAATATAGCTATTTGTGTAAGTTTTATGTGTGTCTTCTAATTAATTGTATTAGTTGTTAAATGTGTGAAGTAGAAATATTTTTGGGGACTGATAAACCAATAGAAGTGAGACCCCATAAGCCTCTACTCCTGGGAGTTGATTGGCTTGGTAGAAGTGGACTTCTATAAAGCAGGAAACAGGAGGGGTCCAGGTAAAGACTGTTGTACCTAGTGGTGCTTTCTAGTGTCAGCCCAGTCCTGTAGAGAGACATTGAGGACTGGGAGTCCAACAGGTCCTGGTGGGGCTATTGGAAAAGAGAGTATCCATCTACTCCCCATTACCAGCTCTTTAGAAATTGGGAAGATGACAGAACTGGCTCCCGTCTATGGCCTTCAAGTTCTCATGACAGTCAGGGCTAGTTGGGCAGCATCTTCAAGTCCTGGCAGGTAGCATTTGCAAAGGAAGTAAGAAGAATAAATCAAAGATAAACAGTAGATGCCATAAGCTAACTCTGTATACAAATGACAGCTTAGTATGAGAGCATTTTAGGACAGTTCTCCAGGTACTCTCTAAAGTAACTAGAATTAAAATTTCAGGGAACTGCTGATGTAGCTGAATTCAGTAACATTGAAATTAGCATTATCATAGATCTTGTGAATCTTATGTGTTTCTTCATGAGGATACGGCCTGGAAGATTTGGGTTACAAACCAATAACGAAAGAAGCAAGAGCGTGCCTAGTTGAGTTCCTTACCTGAGACGTTCTCTTGCATGTGTATATCATGATGGTGCCAAACTTCTCTTCCTATTCTACTAAAATATGGAGTATTTTCATGGGTTACACCACGGAGGCTAGACACCCCTTCCTTTCATATGACAAGCAGTCATACAGAGAGCTAATCCTATCGCCCTTGTCTACCCTTTGCTGGCGGGCTTATCTCAAGGAGGTATTGATCAGCGCCAGACGCAGAGGCTGTATATTCAACTCTTCTGCCAAAGAGGGGAGATTTATCTCAGTACGAGTAATGGAAGGTGGCAGGAAGAGTGGAAATATGGCCGGAGATCAGCTACATTCAATGAGACAGTGATGTCTGGAGGAGTCTGTGGCAAAAAGAAGACAAATCAGAGCACTGTCACTCTGCAGAGCACGGCCAGCAACACCTGAGGGTGATGTATGATGACACAGGCGGCTGAGCACTACCTTCCCAACCTGGGCTGCGTACGGCTCTCCTGAAGACGCGGATTTATTGTACTGTCGTTGGTGCGTCACTGAGCAGAGCTGGGAGGGATTGTGGGTAATAGGATCCACCCCCCACCCCCCATCCCCCATCCCCCTCACCCCGGCTTGAAGCCAATAACCTGCCTTCTTTATCTCAGCCAGCAGAAGACACTGAGACAAAGAAAAATTGAACCCAGACTCAGATTTCTTATCAGCTCATCCTCCTGTGTCCGTACTGTATGTGGTGCACACTGTTGTGAAAAAAAGAGAGAATAAAAATAACCTGAGATGCAGTCACGTATATGTGAACATCTTTGCTCCTGTCTTTTCTAAGGCTCTTATATTTTTTGTCACTAACATGTAACTGAAGAAGCAGCTTGTTAGAGATGAAGAAGGTAGTGTTCACACACCCTGTGGTTGGTAAAGTCATGAGTGCAGTGTTTTGAGGAAAGTTTGGAAACAGAATTTAATTCGTGAATTACCTTTGATTGTGTGGTTTTATGACTAGGAGACACTAGGGGACTTTCTATACTACTATACCTGTATAAATGTGCAAAGAGAGATGATGACAGAATCGTCCAATTGGAAGTAAAACTTGGAAATAGCCTAAAGAATTTTGTTTAAATTGTAGTTTACAATGATCTGTTTACTCAGTGCTAAAATGAATTGGAAAAAGCAAACTTTAGAACAATGTGTACAGTGTGATTCCATTTTATGACGTGTGTGTGTGTGTGTGTGTGTGTGTGTGTGTGTGTGTGTGTGTGTGTGCTTGGAACATTTTTGACATGGAATGAAAACATGGAACAATAGTTCTGGAAAATTCAACTGATGTTAGCTGTAGAGGTGGGAGCTGGGTTCTTTTCTAAGGAGAAACAATCTATTACCAGCAGTTTCATTCATATAAAAGTTAAACACATGCAAAGGCAAAAGGCCAGAGGGAATGTAGCTGTCAGGAATCTCATAACACAGCCTGGTGACTAGCTAAGTGGGTGGCTCAAATGGCCATGGTGAAGAATATCTTTTCTACTCAGTATTATCCTTACAAAGTAGGGTCTTCCTTCCTTCGAGCTATGGTCTAGGTATGAATTTTGCAAATGGACAATGTGTCAAGAAGTGGGGGAAAGGCTGGGGAGCTATCAGTAGGTAAAGCACCCACAGGGCAGATGTGAACACCAGACTTCAAATCCCCAGAATGCACATAAAAACTATGTAGCTGTGGTGGCTGCCTGTGGGGAAGCAGAGACAGGGTCTCTGGAGTAAGCTGGCTAGCGACACCAGCAGGAATCCATGAGCCTGGGTTCAGCAACAGACTCTGCCTCAATAAATAAAAGAGGGAAACGATCAGAAAAGATACTTGATGTCAACCTCAGGGATCTACACACATATGCACACATGCACGCATTCACACATATATGCAACCACACAACACGTGACTATGCAAACATGCATGTACACCACACACATACACATGTAAAGATAAAATAAAAAGGAATTGAAGGAAAAGAAGTGAAATGAAGTGGCTGTGTGGGATGATGAGAAATACCTTGAGATAGTGGGCACAGTTCTTGTTGGTAACCCTCCGCCATCAGGAGCACATCACTTACCTTCCAGCTGCCCTTCCTGATTGTTTGGGCAAAACACTACTCTGACAGTAGTGTGAGAAACCAGTTGTCATTTAAGTCACTTCTATTCTTAAGAAGTAAGACGGGGTGGGGGTGCTTCTTGCTCTTCTTTTTACCTAAAACATCATTCATGTTATTGAAACTGAGGAGGAGCCAGAACATCTCGCAAATAGATCTTCAGTTCTTGAGAAACATGTGAGTTGAGAGTCCACAATGTCTTGAGATCTCACCTCTGTTCATAAGGATTCTACATAACCATTTTTATGACCTTTTATTGATTGAAGAATGCTTTATAGAATTGACCATGTTCCTATTCACTGGCATTTTAGGGCACTTTTTTTTTTTTTGATTCAGGTCCTGCTAGATACTGGGCATATAAAGATAGAGGAATATATTTTCATAGAGTTTACAATCTAACCAGAAAAGTAAATACATGACTAAGAAATTATAATAGAGAATATAATTGCAACACAGCAAAAAGGTATAAGTTCTAGTAAGCTGGAACATACACTGATGTTTATGACTGGAAGACATAGGCACTCTGGAGTGTTAATTAGGATACAGCTATCTACCCATATAGACACCATTCTAAGCATTTACAAAGATGATCTATATGTTGTGGTAAAATCAAAATGTAATATTGAGATTTTGTTCATGTAAAGCACTGAAGAACTTTGGGAGGCCCATTTAATAAATACATCCCATCTTTATTTTTGAGAGGTCTTTTGTGTCCATTTAACATCACCATCAAAGCATCAGTGTCCTTTTGAGTAGTTTTTCAAATTAGCTGGGTCCCAGTGCTCAAACACAGGAATTAACCCTCTATCTGCTTGAACATATTCCGTTCAGATTTGCTTTCACTGCACAGTAAAAGGAGAGCAGAGGGAATGTGATGGTGATTCTAGGCCAGTGTTCAATAAAACGGAATGAAATTATAAAATAAGGAGCATGAATGTTTGATGTCCATTTTGTTTGCTATCTGGGTGTCATGAGAATGTAAACTCGGCAGTTTCCAGAAGGCTGTAGAGACAATCTCTCGCCATCTGCTGGACTGAAGCAGGATTTGCAATGCATCAGACCAGGGTGGGGACTGGATTCCTGGACATAGTTAATATCTTTCCTCCTGCAGAGTTCAGATAGAGTGTGCTCTTGTTTTTCAGCTTGTAACATTTTCCTGTGAATGCATTGTATCTTCCCTTTGTCTTTACTGCCACCAGAAAATTCTATTTATGTTTCAAACCTGATGTGTATAAAATATGGCCTTTATAAGCAAATGGCATCCAGAATATAGAGGTAAGTCTATGGGTCTGAGCATCTCTCTCATACTTGTTTTGGTGACTGTGTTCAGCCAGGGGACAAAATATACTCAAATAAGCTAGACTACTGTTGTCTTCTTTTCTTTTCTCTTAAACGTCTTGTAGATAAAAGCGTTCACACAAGGTTTATTCTGACAAATGAGCTCTATGTGTCCTGAGAAAGAAGATGTCTCAGTAAAGAAGTGGACTAGCCAAACAGTAAACATTTATAATATTAGGTCTATGGGAAAAAATTAACACTTGAAATTACAGCTCATAATCTCCTGACTTTTCTGGGGTGATTAGGCTAATTTTAAAAATCAAATAATTGTATATGTACCTTACAGGGTGGGATGAAGTTCAAGATTCCTTCATCATGGTATACAAATGGAGGTAAATAAGTGCAGCTCTAGGGAAGGGGATTATGTGTGAGGGGCTAGTGCTCAAGGATGAGGTACTTCAAGGATTTTAGACTTGAAGTTGCAGGCATATTCACATGGCAAACAAATGTTGCCACTGTTTTGTTTTTTGATTGATTGATTGATTGATTTTTAAGAGATAATCTCTTTCTATGTTGGACCCTTGTGCTCAACTGACCTAACTGCCTCAGGCTCCGAAGAAGCTGCATCTGCAGACGCCTGCTGCCAACCCTGGTTGCTAGGCATGATTTCTTTGCTAAACATTTGCCGTCATTTTTTTTCCTGTTCTCTTTTAGTTTTCTTTTCTTTTTGAGACTTTTCTACTTCGTTTTCTCTTTCTTTTGCTTAATATAGCTCAGACTGGTCCAGTACTTTCTATGTAACACAGGCTAGTCTTAAATTCATGGCAATGCTCCTGCATTACGCTCTCAAGGCTTGGGTTTGTAGGCAGGAGCCACCACACTTTATTTATCCTTTGCCAGTTTGTGGAAATACCTGCTGTGTCTCCTGTGAGACATTGCCAGCTCTGTGTTGACAAATGTGGTAGTTTGAAAGAATTTGGCCCCCATAAGCTCATAGGGAGTGGCACTATTAGGAGGTATGGCTTTGTTGGAGAAGGTGTGACCTTGTTGGAGGAAGTGTGTAACTGGGGAGTGGGCTTTGAGGTCTCATATATGCCCAAGCTATGCTCAGTGCCTCAGTCCACTTCCTGTTGCCTTCTGATCAAGGTGTAGCCAGTACCATGTCTGCCTACACGCCGCCATGCTCCCCACCATGATAATAATGGACTGAATCTCTGAACTATAAGCAAGCCACCCCAATTAAATGCTTTCCTTGATAAGAGTTGCCATAGTCATGGTGTCTCTTCACAGCAATAAAAACCCACTAAGACAAGTGAAGAATAGAAGATCAGGGCTCAGCAGGAAAGGCAGCTCAAGAGAGGAGCATAGGTCTAGAGGCTGGGGACCTAAGAACTGACAGCTGGCTGCAATTTTGTTATGTAAGAGCAGTTGTTCAAGAACGGATCAGCTAAATCTCCCGTTTGCTCCTCGTCTGTCACCGGGGTTAGCCACTCTCACAGATGCAGATGACAAGAGGTAGGCAACTGTGACGGAATAGTGGTACATCTCGGGAGAATGTCTGCTAACTTCAATGCTGGCTCCCATCAGAGACATCACCCAAACGCCTCTCCATGTTCATAACTTTGATCTAGAAGAGAGCTGTATGAGATTTGGAATGGAGCTAGAAAATACACGTTTGAACAACGTTGAGCAAAAACTCTTTAATAAAGCCTTTTCTAAAAGACACTTATTATTAGAATAATCCTCGACTTATTTGGGAGAGTAACAGCAATGGCATGCTAGCAATTAAAGGATAGGAAATAAATTTTGTCTTTTCTAATAGCTGCCACTGGCATCATTTTAGGTACAGCCATGATGCCTTGGAACAGTGGTTATCAACCTTCCTAATGCTGTGACCCTTTAATATGGTTTGTCATGTTGTGGTGACCCCCAACCATAAATTCTTTTCATTGCTACTTCATAACAGTAATTTTGCTACTGTTATGAATTATAATGTAAATATTTTTGGAGATAGAGGTTTTCCAAAGGGGATGTGACCTACAGGTTGAGAACTGCTGCCTTAAAAGGCTCTTTGTACCAACAAATGGCAGGAATGGAGCACTGTTTCTTCTTTTACCAGAC